CCCCCCCCCCCCCCCCCCCCCCCCCAGCACTGAAATGGGTGAGACAGAAGCGGAAGGTGATTCTTAAAGAAACAGAGGGCAATTTCAAGGCATTTAGAAGAGGAAGTGATGAGAAGATATGTTTATTTTCTATTTAAACACAAAACAGTGTTTTAATAACAGCTAAAGGTGACATAGAATTTAAATGTATGCCTGAGATACACATAATATTACCCCTTTAATTTGACCCATAACAGAATAGGTGTCTCAAGTTTAATTATAAATATTAATCATAGGGAAAAAATTCAAAATGTAAAGAAAAAAATTCTAAAGAAATCATTTTAATGAATAATCATTGTTTTTTGTGTGTAGGTTTATGTATTGGACATAAATAAAATGTAACATGCATTTTTTGAATGAAAATCGAGTGAACTGTCCACATTGATCCTTCATCTGTGGAAAAAAAAAAAAACACCAATTCACAAATATTGACTTGTTAGTAATGGAGTTAATAATCAGATATAAAAATGTTTTGGTTATTTATTTATTTATTTATTGGTTTCTGACACCATAGCACGATTAAACATTCCCCGGGTCAAACTGACCCGGGAACGTTGTTGCCGTTCCTCAGAAACAAACATAACAGGAGGTTAAATGAGTTTTATCAATGGTGTCCTCCTGACACCTTAATGACATTTGTTGAGCATGTTCTTGTTGTTGCCAGGGAGCAATATTTAGTTTATGCTACAATCATACATAAGTAGAAAAAATGTGGAAGCCATTGCCAAAAAAAATAAAGAAAATAAGAAAAAAGAAACCTAGTTTGGTCACAAATTTCTTTCTAAACATATGTTGTTCAATAAAAAAAATCAGACACTGACAGATGAAGGCTTCATTGCAACACAGTATTGTGCTTGGAAAACCTGCTTTACTGTCATCAAAACAAAGGTTAATTTGACAACTCATAACCAAGTCTTCAAACCACTAAAAAAATCTAAGGGGCTGAGACATCCAACCCCATAAATCAAGTGGGAAAAATGGAAACCTTCAAAATGGTATGGCTGATGAACAGAAACATCAAGTATTAGCATTTTGAGCATAAATTGAATAAAAACAAGACATTGGTATTTTTCCAAGACTGGTAAAGACCTTTGTCACAAAAACTACTGATTAGAGCTGAGCAATAAAATAATAAACACACAGATAGACACATGATTAATATCAGAAAATGTCTGATAGATAGCTGATAATTTCACTGAACTCCGAAATAGAACTGCACAGCATTCTGGGGGACACAGAGAAAAGGTTTTAGCCACTCCACATTTCACAGCCCAGTTAAGCACTCTTGTTGGCATCCAGCAACTCGATCACTCTTTGGTAAGCTAGCAACAATGTTGTTAGTTGCAGTTTTGTGTTTTGCCACTGGACCTCATAACTGCATAGAAATAAAGAAAGAATGACGTGGAGTAAAAGGAGAAAATGAGTGCAACAGCTCGAGAGGAAATTGTGAATAAAAGAGGAAATAAGTAAAACAAATAACAAATCAATAATTATTGAAATAGACCGAAATGCTTGTGATACATTTTTCAGCCATTTGACCCAGCCCCACTACTGATCACTGTTGTTTATTTTTTTAGGTAATTACAATATTCAGATCTACCTAACTTCTAACACTACTGATTAAAAGAGTATGAGCATTGACGTGAGGGGTTTACAACCCAATATTAACTTGTTTGTTTCAGATAAAGAACACAAAAAGCTGGCTCTGAGGAAAGTACAGCAGGTCTGTTCGATTCCTTTTCGGTCCACTATGTTCCCAAGCTACTTCCACAGCTTTGGGATGACCGAGAACTACATTGTGTTTGTGGAGCAGCCCTTCAAACTGGACATTGTCAAACTCGCAACCGCCTATTTTAGAGGAATCAACTGGGGGAAGTGCCTCAAATTTGATGAGAACGACAATGTAAGTTGCCTAAAATTCCACCAGTATAAATAGCCAAACAATTATGAAGACAGAAAACATGAACCTGGCTCTATAACGTCTCTATCAGTCTGACTGTAATCATTATATGGAGTCGTCTCTCTTTCCAGACTTATTTCCACATCATCAACAAAAATACAGGAAAAGCTGTGTCCACTCGTTTCTATGGAGATGCTTTGGTGATTTTCCACCACATCAACGCCTATGAGGAAGATGGACATGTGGTTTTCGACATCATTGCCTACAAGGATAGTAATCTGTACGACATGTTCTACCTCCACAACATAAGACAAGAAACCAAAAGCTTCATTGAGAAAAACAAGTTGTTCTCCCCACCAGTTTGCCAGAGATTTGTTTTGCCACTTAATATCCAGAAGGTACGGTTAGACTGAGAAATTACATCAAAGTGCATTCATATTATTTTTCACTTCACTATCACTGCTTGGTTATCCTGCAGGAATCCCCCAAAGGAACTAATCTTGTGACATTAGCGGACACCACAGCTCAGGCATTGATGCAGGAGGATGGGTCCATCTACTGTCAGCCAGACATACTTTTTGAAGGTGTTTTTTTATATATATAAAATAAGCTATCTAACATACAGTGCAAAAAACCTTTTTTTTAAACTAATGTGTTTCATTCTTCAACAGGTTTGGAGTTGCCAGGGATTAATTACAACTTCAACACCAGGAAGTACAGATACTTCTACGGCTCCAGGTTGGAGTGGTCTCCCCACCCCAACAAGGTGAAGCATGTCAGAGAGAAAATAATGATTAAAAAATAGCTGAAGCAAAACTTTTTAAATAACATTAGCTGTGAAGTACATGGAGTGTGGAATGAATGATTTTAACTATTAATGAGTTAATTAGGTATGTCTTTTGTAAGTTAATGACTTTAAAAAGACAGAATTAGCAGCATGCTAAGATGTCCCAAAACCCATTATAATCAAGTTGTTACTCTTCATCCTGAGAGAAAATTTGTTACAAATCAGCAGTTGATTTTTTAAAAACAAAAGTTATTATCCAAAAAATTAACTGTGACTTGTTCAGTGTGGGGCAGCTGTGGCTGTAGCTTACCACCATCAGTATGTGATTGGGTAAAGTGTAAAGCGCTTTGGAGTCCACATGGACTTGATAAGGTGCTTTGTAAGTTCAAGCCATTTACCATTTGAAATAATTGTGTCCTAAAGATCGCCAAAGTAGACATCAACACCAAGACTCACATTGAGTGGCATCAAGAGAACTGCTACCCTTCAGAGCCGGTGTTTGTTGCATCTCCAGGAGCAGAGGAGGAAGATGATGGTGAGAGTTGTATCTTACGTTACCAGACTGAGAGGGTCATTTCTTTTCTGACTGTTTATTTTATTCTTCTTCCAGGAGTCATCCTGTCATCCATCATTTCTTCAGAAACCGACATTTCTCCCTTCCTGCTTGTCCTCAATGCCAAAACCTTTGAGGAGATCGCCCGGGCCTCCATTCCTGCCCCGGTCCACATAGACCTTCATGGACTTTTCATCCCTGCAGCCGACTGACTACATCCTCTGGAGACATTTTTCAACATACAGCCTTGTCTTCACATTTCTGAAAATGTGCCTTTATTCACAAGACACAAAGAAGTGACAGCATCCTTAACTTAAATTTTTATATTATTTAAAAAAAAACACAAATAGTGGTCTAGGGAGAGAAAATTAAGCTAAATTTGGATGAAATATTCATGTCGAATGAGCAACATCAATAATAAGAGCCTGTTTTGCTACTTTTGTGACTGAAATGGCCTTCAGAAGACAAATTCTGAATGCAAGAAGAATATTTGGAAGAGTCAAGTTGAAGCTTTCAGACCAAGAACCCCGAACCAAGTGACATTTTAAAATCTTCTGACAGTCACTATGCTATGATGCTGGCATATGATCGATGGATGAGGATTACCATACAGTTCTTCACGTCACCTTAAATCAGCAGCTATGTGAATGAAACCTGGACACATTCGAGTGTTCAAACAGAACCATTAACCCAAACACACATTACAACAGCTTTCTGATAGGATAAATTAGGATAGCATTAAGCTTGTTGGATGCTGTTCTCAAAGTTTTACCTCAACCTGATTGAAATCATGTGAGCTGTAACCCTGCATGGAAAAACAAGTAAAGGAAATGGATGAATCATAGTTAAGAAACAGGTCCATGCAGGAAACCAACCAATCTAATTGAACTCTACTAATTATTCCAAGAAGAACGGTGCTCAAATCTATAGCCACAATTCTGCCAGAAGATTGTTAATGAAGACATATGTGGTTCAGGTGCAACTTGTCAAAAGACATTTAACCAAATATTATTGAATGCATGGATACATTTTGACCCTGTATGTATGTATAATTAAGACCGTATGGGTTTGAAAAAAAAAATAAATAAATAAATTCGAACTATTTTAAAAATGTCTTTAAAGTTGCACATTGCAAACAAAATGATGAAAATAAATAATTCAGAGACAAAATTCATGAGTGGAGGAAACTTCTACGTTTTCCTCATGGATTTGTTAGTCCGTCACTGATGACATACAATGTAAATTTTTCAAACTATAAATTGATGTTTTTTATTATTATACTAGTTGAAAATGACAATTTATTTCAGAAAGACCTATTCAATTATCTTGTTAAATATCCTTATTTAAGAAAACAGTATGTAACCAACTAGTGTAACTTACAAATAGATAAGTTGAGAAACTTAGATTCCAATGTTGAAGCTATAGTTAGTCTATCTTTCTAAGTTCAAAAAGGAGGATAATAAGCACAACAACCATATTATCAAGAATGAACAGATTATTTAATACAACTTGAAACAGAATGTCACTGTACAGTTTTTTTTTTAACATAAAGTGTCCACCTTTTTTTTTTTAATCAGGCAGTGTATTTCCTTTGGTTCAGATTTTCTTATAGTTCAGTTCGTCCTTTAGAAGTTTTGTTTCCCCTTTTTCTTTCAGTAATTTAAGTCAGTCAGWCAAGTCTTTGTAAAATGGCCATGTGTTTCTTTGGATCAAAAAAAATCTTATCTTATCCAGGGCAAAGTAAGCAGCGGTTCCAGCAGTCCCAGGTCTRGGGTTGAAACCTGGAGTTCAGCAATCCAATCCAGGCCTGCGATGCTATGCAGCTGGACAGTCTTCAAAGTTGAATGGGGTTCAAAAAAAAACCAACCAGAGAAAAATCACAGTAAAAGTGTATTTTACTGCCAGGGATCAGGTCACGAATCTTCTTTTCTCTTAACCGTTACCAGAATTAATCAAGATGTTTATCTTATAGCATGCAGTAATTCGCACACGTGCTACAGCCAGCTACGGTTTTCTTCTTCTTCTAATAATTTTTCTGCTGTCTAAGCCAGAGTGTAACTCACAAGCCACCTGCTGGCGGTTTCTGGTATGACAAGAAAACTCAGAAAATGAAAATATAAACTAAATTTCTGGGAACATTTAATAACAAAACAAAATCCTACTGAAATAAAATACTACTAACAATATCACACATATACATGTGGGTTACATCCTCCCCCCCATTAATTGCATGCGTCCCTGCATGTCAACATCTCCTAAGCATCAAATACAGGGGCATTAAAGTCACTTTCAAGAGCTATTTGTAGTGCTTTTTCTAAGCCACTAAGTAAAGACTGCATAACTACCACAAGTGGGTTTCCTAAGGATGGGTAGGTGAGTCTCTTGGGATGGGTTCTTTCTCTTGTTGATCTCCTTACTTCAACATTCTTTTCATGGTTGTCCGTTCCAATAGAGATAACAGTTTCAGATGTTTCGGGGTTGTCAATATCTATTATGACATGGTCTGGTGGTTGGATGGACATTCGAGGTGTGGGTGACTGGGTTAACTCACCCTTGAGCTGCTGCTCTTCTGATATGGTCTCTTTTGGCTCTTGTGGCTCAAATGGTGAAGCTTCAGGATTAAGTGATGGCASTGAAACATGTTCGTTTGTCACGTCTTGTTCTGRATTATCAGRTTCGGTTCTCTCACTAGCAAGTTCATTTATGTCCAACATTTGGTCTTCAGATCCAATTTGCATGTCTCTGTCCTGTTCATCACCGTTTCGGGTTCCAACATTAGTCACCATCTTTATTGGAGGATAATAATAATACTCCACATCTTCATCCTCGCTGTCCAGCAGCGAATCCTCTGGAACTTCATTTCCAGCACCTCTTTTTGTTGCACTTGACTGTAGTCTTTTAGACTTCCTTGTTTGGGTTTGTGTTATGGGCTCAGGTTGCTCTTTCGCAACTGACAGAAAACCACAGGGCAGTAACAAGTCTCTATGCAAGACTCTTTCTYGACCCACATCATCAAAAGGAGCTARTACATAAACAGGGAGGTTTTCCATCTGTTTGATCACTTTGTAAACAGTGTTAGTCCACCTGTTGGAAATCTTGTGTTTACCACGGAGACCTACATTTCTCACTAACACACGATCTCCCACTTCGAGTTTAGACTCCCTCACCTTGTTGTCAAATCTCTGTTTGTTGTAAGAGGCAGTCTTTTCGCTATGTTCAATAGCAATTTTGTAGCTCTCTGTCAAACTGTCTCTGAGGCCTTTTACATACTGACTATGTGTTTCGCCCCTCCCAATAGGCTTGTCGAGTCCAAATGCAATATCAATGGGTAAGTTTGGCTGTCTTCCAAACATGAGCTGGTAAGGTGAGTATCCAGTCGTGTCYTTCTTTGTGCAATTATAGGCATGCACCAATGGCTGCACAAAATCTCTCCACCTTAACTTATCCTCTTCTTGTAAGGTGCCCAACATGGCAAGGAGTGTCCTATTAAATCTTTCCACAGGATTTCCACGTGGATGATAAGGAGTCGTTCTTGTTTTTTTTATTCCAAGCAGATTGCATAGCTCTCTGATCAACGTGGACTCAAAATCCCGGCCCTGATCACTATGCAAACGCTCCGGCAGGCCGTAGTGAATAAAAAAATTATTCCACAAGGCTTTGGCCACGGTTTTTGCTTTTTGGTCAACTGTGGGTACTGCCACTGCGTACTTGGTGAAGTGGTCAGTGATTACGAGTATATTTTTTGACCCTTTTTCATCAGATTCCAAAGACAGGTAGTCCATGCAGACTAGCTCCAGCGGTCTGCTGGTACAAATGTTCACCAAAGGGGCACTGTGTTCAGCTCTGGCTTTTTGTCTYATGCACCTCTCACATGTGTGTATTTTGTTGTTTATGTCAGTGAACATGCGTGGCCAATAAAAGCGTGCACGAACCAGATCTGTGGTGCGATCTACACCCATATGTCCCATACAGTCATGTAGGCTGTCCAAAGCCTCATTTCGAAAAGTCCTCGGCAGAACTAGTTGGAAAGATGGCACACCATTTAGAAGTCTTTTCCGGTAAAGCACTTCATCTCTCATAACTAGTTGGTCCCATAGCCGTAACATGAGCTGGACTTCTCTNTTAGTTGGGGCTCCTTTGGCCTGTATTACTGCAGCAATGCGGCGTGGCATGGAGTCGATCAGTCTGTGGCACTGCTCAGGAGAACCCAAGTTGCTCTGATAGTGGCCTTCAGCCTTCAGCTCTTCTGAATTGTACAGTCTGCCATATCACATCCTCCTCTTTACAATACCCCATACATTTTCTATGAGGTTAAGGTCAGGAGAGTTTGTTGGCCAATTAAGAACAGTTACCATGGTACTGGTAGCTTTGGCACTATCTCTTCACCTCTATTAATGTGTTGGACACAGAGCTCTGTGAACAGCCAGCCTCTCTTCAGCAAGGACCTTTTGTGTCTTGTTCTCCTCATGCAAGGTGTCAATGGTCGTCTTTTAAACAACTGTCAAGTCAGCAGTTTTCACCATGATTGTGTCATCTACAGAACTAGACTGAGACCATTTAAAGGCCTCTGCAGGTGTTTTGAGTTAATTAGCTGATTGGTGTGACACCAGGTGTCTTCTATTTTGAACCTTTTCACAATATTGGGTAACACTTTATTTGAAGGGGTGTGCATAAGACTGTCATGACACTGTCATAAATATGACATAACACCTGTCATGAACTTAAATGAGCCCTCAAAAATCTTTTTAACTATTGTCATTAAGTGTCATTCGGTAAATTATGACACTTTTAATGCAAAGTTCACATTGTTTAAAATGTCTTGATGACAACTTGACATTAACCAAGAAATCATAACCTGTTAAAAAAGCTATTAAGTATCAACTTTAACATTTTATCACACTGTCATTTGTTGTTAGTCTTAACTTTGGCTGTCATGAGACCAATATATGTCATTAATATTTTCCCTTACCTCAAGCAAAGTGGAACATGTTAAGATTAATTATAAAGATGTAATTAAGTGCCATTACACTGATAAATGCTCATAAATACTCTAACTTCTCATGACTTTTTTTTGTCTTGGTTAATGTCAAGTTGTCATAAGACATTTTAAACAATGTCAACTTTGCATTAAAAATGTCATAATTTAGCAAATGACACTTAATGACAACAGCCATAAACATTCATGAGGGCACATTTGAGTTCATGACAGGTGTTATGTCATATTTATGACAGTCTTATGCACACCTCTTCAAATAAAGTGTTACCCAATATTTTAATTTTCTGAGATACTGAAATTGGGGTTTTCATTAGTTGTCAGTTATAATCAACATTAAAATAAATGAACATTTGAAATATCTGTCTGTGTGTAATGAATGAATATACAAGTTTCATTTTTTGAATGGAATTACTGAAATAAATCATTTTTTTCCATTATATTCTATTTTTATGACCAGCACCTGTAGATTATCACCTCAATGTTTTAAAATTTGTCTGTGAAAAAAGTACCAAAAGTTTATAAAAAACTTGAATAAAAATAAGTTAAAGTAAAAATATCTTTATAGAAAATGTTAAAAATAATAAGTTTCACCAATAAGAAAAGTACTCAATAAAAGTCAGAACTGCGCACAATAGATGGTAAAGTACTTTTACCCACTCTGAGAAATTGTGTTGAATTTACTTTACCAAGTTATGTGAACAGGTTCCACTACCAAGTTGAGAAAATTTAAAGCTGTGCAAACTTATTTTGAGCTGCAGAGCAGGTTTGAAGATGATTATTTGATGTTTTTTTTAACGTTCTACAGGCTCTGACATGGTAACTAAATTGGAAACAGTTTTTGAAAAAATCTGTAAAACTTGAAAAAATCTGAGATTCCTCTGTATACCTGCAAAATGCGGAAAATACTGTGTAAATTACAGACAATCCGTACAAGTTCACATGTATGCATTTCTGACACTCATTTCAGCATATGTTCATGTTTTATGGGAGGGGTCCTCTGTGGGGGTGGGCTCCAGGGAGGTGCTGTGCACAAATAGGACGTGCTTTGTATGAGCGTTTAGGCAGCACACATGGCTACGACAGGAGATTCAAGGATTTCTCAAACATGCATGAATGTTTGAAAATGATCTCTGGGTATGTGTTTGATGAGAGGATGACAGCTCCAAAAAGTCAATTTTGCATAATAGCCCTCCTTTAAAAAAATTAAATTAAGACATTTAGACAATAGTTAATTTTTAATGGTTTTCACTGTGAATTAAAAATTCTCAGTCTGCAGGTTTTATTAGAATCATGGGAATTTATTACATCAGCAGTTGCAACAAAAACATTTTAAAATCTGTCACTCATCACCCCGCCTTCCAACATGGCCGCCAAACTGCACAGCAAAGTGAATGTCGACTTTTCAAAGTCTGTGAAGTCGATGTTACCACTGCTGTTCTAAAAAGAGAACTCCAGAAATACTCGTAATTACTCCTGTGAGGCTCGGAGCTGTTTGCCAGCATCCTCGTTAGCGTTGTTGGGGAGGAAGGGGACAAAGTCTTGACATGAAGCGGCAGCCACAAGTCAGAGACCGAGAAGAGAAAAAATAAGAACGTTGATGCTGAAGAACAGGCACGTTGGAATACTGAGAGTGTGTTTGTGTGTGTGTGAAATGTGTCTAAACTATCACTGTTTACAACAGTGGGGAAAAAAAAATGTTGTTTCTCACAGAAAAACACTTTCACTTCTTGTTTTTGTCTCTCTGCCGCTGCCTTGTTTACTAACAGAGGAAGATTGTGTTTTTGTTTGTTGTTGTTTTAGGTCCTTCAGATGATCTCAAATGTCTTCTTCAGCTCCATGATCAGCTGCCAGTCAGTTTTCTGCATTTCGTCTCGGAACCAGTTCTTCAGGGCATCAATGGATGCTCGTGTAATCTGAAACAACAGCACAGCTTCTGTTAACACTGTTTTCTGATCAATTCAGCATTGAACTTAACTAATTCTAAAGCTTTAACAAACTTTCTAAGCTTCATATTGACAATAACAAAAGAACTTGCTCAGTGCAGAACAGCTGGACACAAGTTATATTTATTAATATAAATGCAATTATTTGAGTTTTAATCACTTCTTTGGTGGAAACAGCAGCCAACAAACATGCATATTTTATTTGTTTATATAACTTTTTTAAACAAAAATGTATTTTAGTCAAATGTATCTCAACTATTACGTCATTACTATGCTTAATCTATATCAGTGATATAAAAATTTAATTTTTCATATAAAAATTGTTACGTTTTACAACGGTGACATTTAATGATCATCAAATTTCAGAGGCTGGAGTTCATTTAGAGTGAAGAACAAGCAGCTGAACATTTGTATGTAGGCCTGTCACGATAACAAATTTTGCTGGGCGATTAATTGTCTCAAAATTTATTGCGATAAACGATAATATTGCCTGGTGACCGTTTTACAACTAATAATTATAAAAGCATAAT